TTCCCCTGATGCTGACATTTTCTATTTTCAAACCTGATGATGTAGCTGCTTTGTTTGTGCCTGGTGCTTCATCATTTAGCTGTGCCGTCCGATCTAAAGCTACACCCTATAAATCTGGTTCGTTTGCCTTGTTTTTCTCTTGAAAGTCTCTGCATTAATGTTGTATATTTTGCAGCCTGGAACGTGTCCGATTTTTTTTGGCAGATCAGCAGCAGATGCAGACACGTGTATGTTCTGCTTTAAACAGAGCCTCACTCCATCAAAATGTTATTTACCCCCTTTTTTCCCATTCATTACCTGCAGGCAACCATTACTGCCACCTGCATTAGTGTGATAAGGCCATCGTTAGCCTGGGGGCTAGAGTCTTCATCAGGGTTCTGTCAGTGATTTAACACAGTAAGGAGCTGTATCGCTCATGTGCCAGACAGGCCTGTGATGGAGTGGTCAACTGTGTGGGAAGGTCTTTGTGTTATCATTCTTCACGCTTCATTTTTAGTCTCTTTATTGCATTTAATATGTTCTCTCCGCTCCCTTCTTTTTTCAATTTTCTTTTTTTTTTTTTTCAATTTCCAGTTTCGACATTTCTGCAGATGTTTTAAATGTAAAATTCCAAAGCAATAAGACTTAATTCCTCTCATTTGTGTGTGATTTTCAAATGGAGTCCTGAGCTGGAAAAATGCTTCAGCTCTGCCAGTGCCGAGCTGAGGGTCAAAAGTTTTTTGTTTTTTTTTCTTTCTTCTTTCCCTTTTAAGTGAAACTGTGTAAAAATGTGTTCGACTCAAAACAGCCACTTTACAGCTGCAGCTCTGCCATTGTTGGTTTAGGACTTTGTAAGTGTTGCACAGGCCAAATTAGGACTGAAGGTGTTCATTTTTTATTCAACAATCAATCACTTATAGGAAAGGGAGAGCACACTCGCTCGCACCACTCCAAAAATGCGGGGGTGTTCTACATCACGGCTGCAGCAGTCGTTCAGACTGGCTAATGTTTGCCAGATGTGCAGCACAGGTTAGACTCTGGAAGAACCAGACTCCCTCCGATGGCCGCAAACGGTGCCACAGGAGGAAGTTGGAGTTTCTTTTGTTAACAACAAACAGCCCGATGACGGGAAAGAAACCCAAAAAAAAAAACAGCGTGGAGTCTTATAGGTCTCTGACCAGTGTCTTTGCTTGGCTATTGTTAGTTCCGACCCCTCAGTTGTCGCTCTTTGTGATGCGAGACATCTTTAAGTGTTTGTTGTGGTTTCCTGACCCTTATTCTGGCTTCTCCTAACAAGATGGGTGCTTATTTGCTAGCACTCTATGGCCTCCTGCCCACAGTGCCCATTAAACATAAAGGCTGCAGCGCCTTCTGATACTTCGCAGCAGAATCCTTGACTCGGGCCAAACCGCTGCTGCTCCTATAAAGGAGACTCTCCTTCTATTTCCAGCCGCTTCAAAATAACACGTTTGGCTCTGAGATTCAGTTTAAAATGTATTTTGAAATATTTTGTAAATGTGCAACTTCCCACTGTGAACTGCAGAGTGGCGCTAAACTATTACAATGAATCAAATTAAGTGGGTTAGGTCTGTATATGCTGCGTGTTGAGGGAGGGTGTTCCTGGAAAAGTTCTTACTCGATGCACTGCTGCCCAGTGTAATTGAAGTGGCAATGGACTGGAGATATATTTTTTGTGCATGTGTGTGCACCAAAACCCATTTGGTTTCCTTTAGGGACCTTCATGCGGTAGAGCCAGATGTTGATCACACATACAAACTCTACCTCTAATGGCTCAGGTATGCCTTCGTTTGTTTTACCAGAGTTTAAAAGCTGAGGTCTTGGCCTTTGTTCCTCTGTGAGGAGGAGGACTTTCCTGGCCTTTTTCTTGTACCAATTTTTTTTTGTTTCAACCTTGGCCTTGTCATAGATATTGCTGTATATATTTCTTTGAAAAATACAGATTAGAACAATATATCATATTTTATATTTGTAATATATTCTAATTTCAATGTTCTAACAGTTTTACACACCTGTTTAGTTGAACAAAACCCTGATATACTCACAGGAATTCAAGAAAGACACACATTAAATCTTCTTCTTTTGTCACTCTGCCTGTTGCCGTTGGTCTTCTTTGTCTCTCTTTTGTCACTCTGCCTGTTGCCGTTGAATAGACAAACAAAAACAAATATTGCAGTAAATAAAAATAATGGTTTTCAGACCAATTAAGTGAAATTTGATCATTTCTCTCAGTGATTGGAAGTCACCGGATTAAAAGTCTAGTGACGTGTGAAACAAATATATATCTGCCCTGTGTTGTGTCTGAATTAGAGCTAGGTGATTAGCTGTCCCTGTGACCTGTTTTGACTTGACACTGCCCCCCCCCCCGACCCCCCTCCCTCTCTGTACTTTCAAGTTGCTCGCAGACGTAAATAAGAGTCTGTAGATATCAAAGCAGCAGCCGTTACAGTTGTTGAGCTTTTCTCTGACGTCTGCAGATGTGTCGACTGCTGTGTCATGTTTGCTTTAGTGGGTTTAACTCTCGCCCCCACTTTCACATTCTGACAGCAGTGTATCAGCACTAACTCAGTTACTCACAATTATAGAACGGTGAGTCAAAGTCACTGCTCTTTCCTCTCCCCCCTGGGATTTTATGTCTCACCCTTTTCTATTTATAAGGAAGGAATAAACTTTTTTTCCTCATCCTCCTGATGAACCTAAAATTATTCTTCTCTTTTTTTGGCTTGATATCAGAGGATTGGGAGTTCAAATCCCACCCTGGCAGACTGTAGTGTGTGTTAACACCAAACTCGAATTCTCTTGCTCTACAGGTTAAATGTAAATTTATGTTTTGTAAATATTGTTTTGTAATGTGAATAATAAACAGCTGATTCTGTGCCAAAATATTTCTCAAATGACGTTAAAATGACATTAAAGTTTACTAAAATACTAACCGTACATTAAAAACCAAACCAATAAAAAGCCCTCTTATTTCACCTATGGGGTGAAACATATTACCATCTTAATTCAAAAAGCATTTTAAAAACAGTTTGTGTTTTAAAAAACTAAAGAGAAATCACGGGCTAAAAGCAAGAACAGCAGAAACGCCATTAAGATAAAAAAGGAAAGTAAAAAAATCAAAATAAAGCACGTCAACCATCAGTCTCTGAGTCAAAAATCTAGGAATACTGACACACATTAAATCAAAAATGTTAACCTCAGTTAATCTGCGACATATCATCACGTACATTATATTTAGCTGTTAATCTTCAGCCCAGCCCTGGTGTAATTCTTTCTAATATTTCAGTTTTTATTTTTTCTTGGCTGTAACTCTTAACAAGGCTTTCTAATAAGGCTTCAGTGAACCTTTGATGGATGAACTCTACGACCAGCTGCATTTTTCATTTCCTGAGCGAGTTTTCATTTCTGCGTCTCCAGGAAGCCTCTTTTAATGTTTCTTTTTTTCTGCCGTGTCTTCGTATTTCTTGACAGTGGCCTGTAAAACAAATTTACCCGGTAACTAAGTTTTGAATTATTACGCTTCCCACATTCTTGCAGGTTAAAACATGAAGTAGCTGTTGCCATAGACACACTGTGCTGTAGTTCCACCGCTGCACTGTACTGTACTCTACTGTACTCTACTGTACTGTACTGTACTCTACTGTACTGTAGTGAGTACACACAGGAATCAAAGGTTTCTCCGGTGCTTAATCTTCACTGCTCACACTCTGCTCTGTGCTGTTGTTTCCCACAGTGGTGCTTAATCTTCACTGTCTCTGCTCTGTGCTGTTGTTTCCCACAGATCCACACATCAAGGTCTGTGGAAAGAGGGAGAACGTGAGAGAAGCCAAAGACAGAATTATGTCCGTCCTGGACACAAAGGTACAGTTTGCATCTTTGTTGCTGAACTCGGACTTCACCTCTGCTCCGCCGCTTCCACATGACAGATTGTTCGCAGCAGTGTCGAGGCCACTCGGCACCTATTCTGGTGAAATACTTTCATCCGGAGCTTGCTTTTGAGTGTAGGGTGTTACCATAGCAACACAAGAAATAACCTACCTGGGCAGTGCACTATAGCACCCCCTGGGGGTAGGCCATCAACTGTACACCTTTGAGCAGCCAAACACATGTTTCTACCACTGGAAGGCATTTCTGTCCTGGCAGACGCAGCAGAGTTATGTGATAATTTGACTCCTTTTTTTTTTCAGTGCTTCATATTTACTGCTCATTTGCTTGTTTTATGAATGAGTTCAACATGTGGAAGTGGTTAATGAGAGGAAACGGAACATTTTGGATTCTGTGCCTTGTTGAATGATGAAAAGGGGACCATTTTTAAACAGGATTTTTTTCTAAAGCCTTGACAATTAGACACGTCAACATGTGTTTGAGTCCTGATTGTTTCTGTGAATTCTATTTGTCCTCTGTGACCTTAGAGCAACAGGGTGACTCTGAAAATGGACGTCTCGCACACGGAGCACTCCCACGTCATCGGCAAAGGAGGCAACAACATTAAGAGGGTGATGGAGGAGACGGGGTGTCACATTCATTTCCCAGACTCCAACCGGAACAACCAGACAGAGAAAAGCAACCAGGTTTGTGGTGGAAAATGTCTCCAGTGACGTCTGTAGACATTAACGCTTATGATAATGATGCAAGTAGAAGAAACAGACTCTAAAAAAGGTGAAACAAAGGCTGTTGAAATTCATCTTTTTTTTAATTAAAAATAATTTTACTGCCTTTTAATTCTGCTAATGTTTTTTTTAATGTGATGATATTAAGGCACACCAAACTATCTATTAGTATTAACATTTATTTCTTTATAATTATTGTGATGCCTTCAGGTACAGAGGGTTTTATATTAGGTGTAACATAGGAGACAATCATGTAACAAAACATTTGGAAGTCGTTTTATCTCACGGCACTAATCTCTGTGTTTAAAAGCGAACCACTCAAATTATAGATGCTGGGGATTTTTTTATGATTTTTCAGAATCTGTTTGAAGTGTCTCCGGATGTTTCCGGTGTACAGTTTGTTCGCTGTACCAACTTTGTGTAATGCCTGTGATATATATTTATGTTCTTTTTTATTGTGCACAGGTGTCCATTGCAGGGCAGCCAGGAGGCGTGGAGGCAGCTCGAATGAAGATAAGGGTAAGTTGGAACTCTGCCGAAATCCTGCTCTCAGAATCCACGCTTTCTGTTTCGCCCTGCGGGCGTCTAGGTGTGTGTTTCAGAGCTTTTTGCAACAGAGTGGACTTGAATTCTCTGTTGAATTCCGCCAACTTTGGTACCGGGTTTTGAAGGAAAATAACAAGAACACATTCCTGATAAAACAGCATGATGTTCAGTATGTTCTTACCAGTTATATATCTGAGTTACGGCTGCCTCTGCTTCAGTTTAGACACACGGCGACCCTGTGGAGATAGAAGCAGGTGCCGAGACCTTAAGTGTTTCAAGCTGAATTATTTCCTTTTTTACTTCTTTGTGGGAAAACATAGAGGTAAATTCAGTCCAGCTGTGTCCTTTGTTTCACACGAGATCAGAAGGCGGGAAGATAAACCTCTTGTTGTTGTTGTTCTTTGTAACTTCAGGCCAGACATTAAAATGCAGCAGAGATGGAAATATTAGCATATTTGGCTACCTGTCAGTGCAGAAAAGATAACAGACTTTTAGTATTAACAAACATACTATTACAGTATGATTACAAAATACTACATTCTTGACCCTTTCTGTTCTGAACAAATGTTCAGATTTGATGTTGTTTCTTGGTTTCCTTATTAATTCCCATACCTTGTGTTTTAAGTGAACTGGCAATTACAAGTGTCACCACAGTCGTTGCCACAGCTGTAGCCATGTGAGTTTTTATGCTAGATGCCATTCCTGAGGCGACCATACCCGCTGTGTTGCCACAGCTGTAGCCATTCCTGAGGCGACCATACCCGCTGCATGACAGGCAAAAAAAATGAGGCAGATTTTACCCTGGAACATCCAATTTTCAATGCTCCTGCTTCATTTGCAGAGGTTTCAGGTGCCTTCATCACTCTCTTCTGTTTGTCACGCTCCCTCCTGACGCCGGAGCTCACACAGTAGTCTAAATGAAAACTCAGGTGTTGTTATGTGGAGTGACACGCTGACACTGATGCGTCCTGACAGAGACATCATTTCTGGTCTCTGCTCTCAGTTCCAAACCCTGCCGCCGCGGACCTGTTACCGTGCACCTGACCAAAACCAACACGGCCGTGTTTCCACGAGAAAATGACTGATTGCACGAAATGTCTGCGATGAGGAGAAAGTTGAGAGAAGACGAGGTCGTGTTGGATACGTGTGCCGTGTACATTGGCACGTGGAGACCCTCAGACCCTACCTTCACGTGTTTAATGGGTGTTTTTCTAAGCAGCGGGCCACGGGCCAGTTCATGCACCAGTCAGACCTGAACGTACCGGCGTTGTACAAATGAAAATTTAATAACGGCTGCAGAGAACTTTACTCTGGCTCGTGCAGAACACATAGTCAGCAAATGAGGCATGCGCATCCAAAGACTCTAGTTCATACTTTGTTAGTTTGGCTTCTGTTAATAATGAACCAAATCTTTATTCTAGTCCACAGGGCCAACAAAACAGAACAGAACAATTCAATGACAAATGAGCTCCGTAACTTTTCCTCTGGTTATAAAGTGATTAGCAACTGTTTTAGAAAAATATCATTTCACTGGAGGAATGAGAGGATAAATTATCCTTGTGGTATACTTCCAATATCAGGGCACCACACCGTAAAACCTGGGTTTGAAATGAGGTCATTGAAGTTTCTTGACCCCGTGCTGCAGCTCAGACGTCTGAACTTCTGTTTTGCGTTAGTGTAAGAAGGCACAGTTTTCTGCCTTTGTTTTCTGGGTGGCCCTCAGTCCCACATCAAATCCAAGTCATTTCAGTCAGAAATGGACATGATGTTGTTGTTTCCTTGGACTTCACATACAGGCCACATCATAAAAGATGGAGTCATTACAGTTTAGATATGTAAAAAAATAAAATAAAACAGTGATGTATTCCAGTTGAAATCAGATCAGAATAAAAGCTGGACATAATGTCGTCACGTGTCCCTAACTCCCATCAGAACTGTGGTGGTCTTTGGTGGAGGTTTGTTTAAGTCTGTGACCAGTCGGTTGTTGAGGTGATGGATTCTCCTGGGAATGTTCCGGGTGATTCACGTGGTGAAGCTGACATGCAGGTGATGACAGGTCTGGCACGCTGCTCCACTCTGTCTTTCCTTTCTTCAGACTGGAGAACTGAGGCTCTTTAACACAACTCTCTGTCTGAAAATACTGGTGAAACTCTGATCTGCCAGGTAGAAAAAAAAAAAGCTGAGGTCAGCTCTGCCACTAAAATCACTTCTTTATTCCGTGCCACGCTCCTGCTGCTGCTCTCCTCGTCCTTCCTCGCGCTTCCCCCAGTGCTGACCTAAATTTCTCAAGCCCTCTGAGAGCGGGCGCTGAAACGTGATATAAATGTAAGGGCGAGCACATATGGGACTGATCAAGGGTGCATTTCTCTGGTCGGAGCGTTTCTTGCTGCTTGCCCTTCACTGGCAGCCAAAACCTTGGTGGCACGCTGCCGGAGATTCAGTGTTTGTACAATTCTCTCTCTCCTTCTCTCCCTCTCTCTATCTCTTCACCCTTTCTGTGTGTGTGTGTGTGTGTACATGTACATTCCATCCTGTCTGTCTGTAAGGGTGTGTGCCTGTCTAATTTCCCTCCCATGCATGCATAAGTATGTGTATCCACGAATGGAGGCGGCTCTGTCCACATCTGTTTTCTTTGAGTGACTGCCGTGATCCCAGTGACAGGAGCTGAGGAGCCGCTGCTGCTGCTGCTGCTGCTGCTGCCGCCGCTTCCGCGGGATTCCACCACTTGGAAGGCGGCGTATGAGAATGGACGAGGGCACAAAACGCTGATGTTCTGCAGAATATTTTTTCAAAGCCACAGTTTTGAACGATTATAGTGCCATAATACTGCAATCAGTCTTTCAAAATGTGCCACATATATAAATATATATAAATGTATATAAAAATTTTTTACTGCTCTCTACTCTAAACTCTTTACAACTCTTCTACCTCCGTGTTGTTACCTCATCTCGTTGGAATGATTGCGCAGTGTGATGCAAGACCGTATGGGAGTCTGTGACGATTCAAGGAAAACTCCTCATCTGTTTCCTTTTTTTTTAACTCCACTCTAATAAAAACCGTTTCTCCACCTGTCCTCTCCCACAGGAGCTGCTTCCTCTGGTCTTGTCTTTTGAGCTTCCTGCCATCATGCAGTCCGACCCCAGCTCCCCCACAGTGCAGCACATATCACAGACCTACAACCTCACAGTCTCCTTTAAGCCCCCGACCCGTCTGTACAGGGCCACAGGTGTGGTTCGCGGCTCGCAGAACAACGTCAACGCGGTGAAGGTAAATGGGTTCCAAAATAGAACTTTGGCAGTTGAAGTTGTGCCTGAAGTTTAGAGACAAGATCATTGCTGTGTCTTGGTTTTTTTTTACAACCCATAAAAGAACCAGTATTTTTCCAGCTGTGTGTTTTTCTTCACATTGTGTCAGTTCACAGCAGCTGCCAGAAAAAATTAAGGGTTGAAGAAATACTGTGAACTGACAAAAATTCATTGTGTAAATATTCAATTTGAAAAATACCCTTCACTTTGGATGTTAGAATTGTATACTGTCATTTTATATAAATGCTGAGTTGACTCTTGCCATTGGAATTCTTCTTCTTCACCTTTTTGTCTACTGTCCCTTACACACACACTCTGTTGATGTGTGTTGTCCAAGCACTAAAAAAGCTCTTGTTCAAAAGTTCACACTCCGTTCAGGATGAGTAAATACAAAGGGGAAAATGTTGTTGTTGTTAGTGTACCAGTGGCCGAGGTTATATTATGGTATGGCGCCACATCCATCTTTGTATTCATTATTTTCTGAGGGTTCACGGCATTGCCCCTCCAGCAGATGGCACCCTGGTTGGTATAAGTAGGTGAACTGCTGCCCTCTCTCTGTGGGTCATTTTCATTCAGATCAATATTTGTGTTTTCACCCTCGCTCTTCTCTGCCCATTAACACGGAGAGCCACAGAAATAGAAGGGGTTTCCACCACCACCAGCACCACCAGCACCTCGTCAACTCCCACCAACACCGTCAGCCGTCCTCACTCTCCTCCTATAAACTGCCTCATTACTTCCAGCACCGCAGGGGCAAGAGAGCGGTGAGAGATGATTAGTAGCTTGAACTGGACACAGCTTTGAGAGACTTATTTTAAAATAAACCGACTACTGTACGAGGCCAGTCCAAACATCTCTGCTGACGGTGCCATTTCTGCAGCTTCGTAGATTAGCAGTGTATTATGCAGCACAAACGCCGTACTGTCAGAGAGCAGATGAAGGTGGAGGTTCCCCTTCCCTTATCTCTGCTCACATACACTGAAGCTCGGTTTATCATTTTCACCCTATGTTTACTATAATGCACTCAGTTAAACCCACAGTGTCTGCACGTTTGTGAGACGCTAATGCGCTTAATGCATCAAACCTCAACCTCCAGAGCCTGTGGTGGGTCTGAGGGGTCAGTCCAGAGTGGGAGGCGTTCCAGATGAAGGGCTGGAGGAATATGTGTGCTATGTAATGTGGTGGTGTCAGACCCTTGGAACACCTCCGACGTTTGCCAAAACCACTGTGGATTGTTGTGTTAAGCTGGCCACAGTGTGCAGATTCCTGGTGCACGCTGGAAATGACTTAGTTCACTGAGCCAAGCAGAGGAACATCAGACACTGTGAGGAATCGCAGCAGCCAGCAGATGATGTGGAAAATGCAGCAATAAAAATAAAAGTTTCCACTCATTATATAGAAAATGCCACTGACTGTTAACTTGGACACGCTGCCTAAAAGTTGTCCTCATTAATATGCCACTGTCAGGGTTGAAATATTATAGTGAACACGAAGACGATCACTCTTCAGGTTTGGCACCGTGGCCGTTTTAACCAACTATTTTAATTTGTTGATTAATTTGTTCATTATTTTATCGATAAAAGTCATGTTTCTGTCCTAGAGTGAGCTTTTAGTGTCATTTTAAAGTTTACGAAATTGTGGTCAGAACATGGTTATGTACATTTTTTTATATTTCAAACCTGTAAAAAAGGTTTTTTGGAAATTTAAACTTTGATGATATATTCATGTTGGGGCTGATCACATAATCACAGAATAACTGTGGATTAATCACAATTAAATAAAAATAATCTTAATTCAGTTTATTTCCTAATAAGCCATAAAAAAGTTAATATTCATTTTGACAGCGTTCATTTATATATTTATTATTTCTATGTCTGTAGTAATGTTTTTTTAAGGAAACAGTCTTGTTCCAGATAAAATTTGTATTTTTAAAAATGATTCAATTTGGTTTTTCTTTTTTTGACCCAGAGGGGAACAGCTCTGTTGCTAGAGCATTTAGCTGGAAGCCTGGCGAGCACCATCTCTGTGACCACCCACCTGGACATCGCACCCCAGCATCACCTCTTCATGAAGGGCCGCAACGGCAGCAACATCAAGCACATCACCCAGAGGACGGGAGCCCAGATCCACTTCCCTGATCCCAACGGCCCACAGAAGAAATCCACGGTCTACATTCAGGGCACGATTGAATCTGTGTGTCTGGCACGTCAGTACCTCATGGTGTGTATTTATACTTAGTTTTTACTGACAAACACTGGTATATTCAGTAGGTGGCGATTACACTGGTCTTTTTTTTTTAAACCTCTGTAATATTCACTCCAGTTAATCAACAAACTGTTGCCACCTGAGAGACATGTGGATGATTTACAGTCGACTGCATGTGAGGTGGGGACACACATCAGCTCTGCTGATTTATTCTAATGTCCTGAGTGAAAAAAGATTATCTTTTCGTGGTGTCGACGGTTTGGCTCGGCTGCAGATGTTGTAGATTTAGTCGGAGTCAGATTTTGACCCTGTCAGTAATTCAGCGGCTGACACGTTAGTGTCTAAATTTCTCTCGGATAAAAATGTGTATGTGGTCATTCTTGTCTTGTTGCCTGTGACCACGGAGCCTAGCCCTGTTTGAATGACTTGAGAGCATAATCAGAAGGCATGCTCCTAAGAGTGATGGCTGTTTAATTGCTGTTAGCTCAGAGGCTGCTGCTGCAGTGGTGCATATAAGACTTCAGTGCCATGTACAGCTCTGTTTGGAGATACAATGCGGAGCCATAATTTTGCCAGAGCCGCCTGTCTCTTTGTCTGCGGTCTCCCATTTGGCCCCGAAGATATTTAGCGAATGCCTAAGTTGTTGCGGTGTCTAAACACGACTCTCTCCTGCTCCAGAAACGGCACAGACACAAGTCAGAGCCTCACTCTGCTGTGTCTGTGTGAGCGGGAGTAAAAGGTCGGATTTATGAGAAGAGAGCTCCAGATGTGGGCTGAGAAACAAAGAGAGGACAGGAGGACGGGAAAGGTGGTGGTGAAGAGGAGAAGACCACGAGAGGGGACCAGGAAATCACTGTTGGTGTAAAAGTAAAAGCAGCACCGTGTGATTTGGCCTCTCAGAGCCAGACTGTAGATTACAGCTTCAAACTGTTGGCCATGTCCGAGGCATCCTGCTCCTGCTCCTGCTCCTAGACTCTGCTGCTGCTGCTGCTGCTGCTAATTACACCCACTCACAATAGCAGCGCTGTCCAGCGCTCAGACCAAAATATAGATGTCTGTGGTGATTGTGGTTGTGATCATGCAAAACACATCGCACTTGGCGGAAATTCCCAAGTGCTGTGTGGGAGGGATCCAGCAGTGAATCTCAAATTTAATGGTTGGACTATCATGTAGGTCTAAAAATGGAAAAAAGGAACTTTGACACCAACGAGAAGAAGAGCTGACAATTAGACTCACAGCAAAGACTGAAACAGTCATTGACAGATGTTGTTTGTTTCTTTCCTGCAGGGCTGCCTGCCTCTGGTGTTGATGTTTGACATTAAGGAGGACATTGAGGTGGATCCTCAGTGCATCACGGTGCTGATGGAGCAGCTGGATGTTTTCATCAGCATCAAACCAAAGCCAAAACAACCCAGTAAGGTATGAAGCCCAAGGCCGGTTCCTGAAAACCCTGGTCCGTCGCAGTTTTAAATCTCTCTCGAAAAAAAAAGACGCACAAGCTAAAGTAATACTAAGTGCTTTTTTAGGGATGTTTTTTTTTTCAGTTGATTTAATTAGTTTTTATTTACAAATGTTCCAGTTGTTTTAATTAGTTTTTATTTACAAATGTTCAGGTTGTATTTTATCACCATTTCTGTTAAAAATGTAACTACAAACAAACAGCAGGGTGATGTCACCACAGCAGAGAGTTTTTTAGTTTTGGATTATTATCTCCTCTGGACAAACAGCTCATCATTCATGATTCCACTGAGGGACTGGAAAAATATAAACAACGGAGAAACTTCAGTTCTTACTAATGAAAAAAAATGTTACTGGAGTTAAACCTGTTTGAGTAAATGACTTACATTTAGAATTTGATTTTGGCAAAAGGAGCCAGGAATCAGTGAAACATGTTGAATGTTTCCATATTTAATGAGGGTTAGCACACACACACACACGCACACACACTGCACCTGTGCAAGTGTAGTAGTACGAGCCAACCTCTAATGTTACTTGAGGTTAACTCCTCTACACTACATAATATTCCTAATTTCATTTCAACACTTGGCCTGGTCTTCACTGGTTCTTAAAGGTGCCCACATCCCGTCCAGAGCCAGGGCCCGATGCCTAAACCAGATGGGCTCCGTAGGGGCTGGTGTGAAGGTGCCAGTGTAAACACTCACCCAGCCCAGAGCTTTTAAAGAATTCTTCACTAAAACATTTTTTTTTTCTGACGTGACAGAAGTCATGAAACGGGCCAGCCAAACACACGCCGCGGCCTGAGCAGCAGACCAATAAAAGAAGTGGTTTTCAGCCCAAAAACATCCGAGGTGTAGCACAGTGTTTCTGCTCGGAGTTTAGTGGTCAACGGCAGGTCGTCCTGTCACCTGTTCCCTCACCTCTGCTGCTCCTGTCTGTCTGTGTCTGTACTGTCTGTACTGTGACAACAGGTGTACACAGAGTTACTTCATTTGTGAGTGCAGAGCTGCATGGATGATATTCAGAAAATAAAGTAACGACAGAAGCTACTGTTATTTGTAAAATTTGAATCTTCATTTGACCAATAAAAAAATTAGATTTTCAGACATTTTATGACATCATAACTGATCCTGTTGCAGTTTATTTATTCATTTCCCCACAGAAAGTACATATACGTACATACGCGTAGTGCCATGACCAAAATGAAGCCAACTTCAGCAGACATCGCCAATGATTTAAGCATTTAAACTGAGTTAAATATGTATTTTTGGCGATAAGTGGAGAAATGTTTTCCCTCTTTGCTCCCAAGCCTCCTCTCCCACACTGTCTCTGTTTATCCTGCTAATCTACGCTTAATTCCATCTTCCTTCCTCCCGTTTATGTTCGCCTCCCCCATCACCTCCCCTCCCTGACTCCTTCTCTAACCGTAACTATCCATCACTGTACTTATATGCTTTCTATGTTTACACGTAATTTATTTTCTTTAAGTTTCATTAATATTCTCTTTTTTTTAAGTCTGTGATCGTCAAGAGTGTGGAGAGGAACGCCGTGAACATGTACGAAGCACGAAGGTTCCTCCTGGGCCTGGAGAGCAACGGCGTGTCGTTAACATCATCGTCACTATCGTCTTCACCGTCTGTGGCCTTGAATCCGACCAACAGCGGTCCGTCTGCGTCCCTCATCTGCCCCGTTGGCCTGGACATCCTGGCCTCAGCTGGACTGGGGCTCAGCAATCTAGGTGTGTTTGTGGTCTATTGGAAAAGACAGTCTTTTTTTTTTTTTTTTTAAATTGATACTTATTCGGGAAAAGTATTTAGTAATAGTATTTTGAGTAGCTGTAAAAAAAAAAGACACAAAGATGGAAACATAAAATCAAGTGTAAGAAAAAGTCATATTTTAAATTTTTTATAAATTAAGTTTAGTTCACATTAAATTAATCAGAGGGGATTTAAAAAAAATAAAACAGTTCTTTTAAGATTTAACTTCTTTAAAAGTTGATATCTAACTGATCCCTGATAAAAAAAAATCAAATTTTCTTTCAATTTTTAGAACATATTTGAGGAAGTTTAAAACAAACACATTTGGAAAATGAACAATAAAATATGTTTTGTTAGTCAAACCGTCCAATCAGAGAACATCTCTGAACTTAATGTCCTTGTCTGTGTTTACTGTTTAAAAGTCTCTCACACACACACACACACTCACACACATATCAAATGCGAATGTATCTTTATAAATGAGTGGGAGTTGTTGTTTTTCTGCCGGCTCGACCTCGGCGCAATCCCAGGAATTCGGCGCCAACGAACCCTGTTCCTCGTGCAAATCTCTGATCAGTCAACCATCAGAAAATAACCTCAAATACAAATTGAGTTGCACTAAACTATAAATGAGTCACAAGTTTGTGAATCAGAGGATGAAGGAGAATTTCTCTGTGGTGGAGGAGTTTTGTTTTTTCTGCTGTGCTGACCTCAGTGTGGAGGCAAAGAGTTCAGCCTGGCACAGACCTGGGGATCATTTTGTTTCCATTAAAGAAAGAAAACATGACTCTTGAATACAATGGATTAAAAATGTAGCATTAGAAAAAATATTTAGGCTTTGAACCAAACAGGAATAATAAAAAAAAGTTAGTATAAAGTGAATGGAATTTCTTTGGACACCATATTTTTTTTTTTTTTTTTCAAATGCGAATTTCAACTGTGAATTGACTGCGTCGCCCTGAGATCAATCCTCACAAATTCGACTGAAATTATTTTTAACATCCGGAAATTATTTTTTCTCAGATTCATGGGATTTTTACTCTGGTCCTTTATTTTTCCACAAAAGGGGAAAATGAAATGCCCACACAAAGAAAAACAATTGTACCATGAAATCCCAGTACAGAAGCAATGGTTTTTCTCAGTGGGTTTAAACCCGGGGGCCTGGGGGTGAAGCTGTGGACGGCCACATCCTGGCCCTTAGTAATTGCTACATGCTTCTCTTCCTCAGATTACAGAGCAGTCTGCCAGCACAATCTGTGGCCTTATTCCTGGAGCCAAACGAGCCCCTTGTTAAAGCCACAGACCTGCTTCTTTCTGTTTTCATACACTGTGTTTGGGTAAAAGACACCCGCTACCACATTGTTGCTGCTCTCAATAACACGCTTTTCTCCGGGCGTACGCCAGCACACGATATGTGCTTTTTGCATCCACGACCTTGTAAAAATTTAGGAAACTCTTCCCCTCATTTGCCGTATGGTTGATGGCAGGTTGACGGAATTCCACTTAAATAGTTGGGAAGACCAAGATTATTTTCTGAGGGCCTTAGTGTAACATGTGATTAGCTTGAAAAATGGCCGCGGGCCCTGACAGGACCACCGCTGATCCATTCATCGCTTCGTCTTGACTTTAATTCCGTCCATTTTCTTTTCTCTCCTCCTCAGGTTTCCTGGGGGCCGCGGCACCACACTCCCTCACCACCTCTGCCGCCCCCAACGCCGTGCTCAACAGCTTAAACTCATCCATGAGCCCGCTGCAGACCCCCAGTCCCAGCACCCCCACCGCCTCCCCCTCACTCTGGCCCAGCTCCCTCACCGGCACCCAAGGTCTGCACACGACTGTCTGTCATGGTTATTGAGCCGAGTGTCTTTGTTGGCACCGTTTGTTGCAGATCTCTGTGAAATCAAGGAGTCGATCGACTGTAGACGAAAGACTGTAGAAAAAGACTGATCTGAGGATTAGCATTACTTGAGAAAATTGCTGACGCTTAATTATTTTTTCAGGATTCTCGTCTCCACTGATGCTCCACGCTGCCACCCAGGCCACTCTGAGCAGCATCCTACTGTCAGGTGTTCAGGGTTACACACAGAGCACACCGTCGCCTCCTCCTGGACTCGCCCCGATTGACAAGCAGACAAATGGAGTCCCCGACTGTTCCAAAGTCCCCTGTACTCTCAATGGACACGTCAAGGTTGTTGTTGAGTCGCTAACATTTTTTTTTTTTTAGCATTTTTTAAAATCTGTTTTCTGACTTGACGTGAATGTGCGTGTGTATCCCTGCAGCACCCAGCCTCAGTCTACGGGAGGATAGCAACCGCATCGCTCGCAGAGACGGTTCGGAATCCAGCTCCGTGTGACTCGGTGCAGGAGGCCAGTGGACACAGTCCCTCAGAACCGCTGTCTAGCAAATCCAACCCAGATGAAGGTATTTTGTCATGAGCACGTGGAGACTACACCCATAAAAACGCTCTTTATCTGTCAAAGTTAAACACACATCAGCTCTAAAAACCCACATTTAAGCCTCAAATTTATGACCCAGTTGGATGTATGTACCAGAAGACATGTGGACCACATGTCAGGGTCTGGATACACCCGCCGCAGCATATGTTTCGAATACTTTCACAGAATATATTAAACCCTGTAGTAGGACACAGCGACTTTTTTACTCTGAAATGAATCTGATGTTTACCTTAGTCTGTGTATTTATTATGACTTCTTTAAAAAACATGTGAAACTAGACAAAAGTGCTTATGTAATTTTTTTTTTGCTTATGTAATAATTTTAACTCCCTACTTCCTCAGAAATGGAGGCTAAAACTCTGTTTGCCCTTTTGGTGATTTATGCTCAATTTTACCATAATGTCGGCCATTATTGAACCGTTAACATTTTTCTGACTCTTGCCGGACTTTGGCCTCGTGGGCTTAACATAAAAGTACAATTTAAAACTTTTCCACTTCAGATTTATGTAACCTTTAAAGCCACTTTTGGGAGGAAAACGCCTCGAATGAACTTATTTGTGTTTTCTCCTCACAGTCCTCTTAACCTCATTCTTCTTTTATTGTTTTGGAACAGAGACAGATTAACTGCTGCGTCTCCCGGTGTCTCCAAAAGGCGCTCATTTCCTCTGTGTCTTACACTCTGTGGTTTTCTCCTCAAACTTTTACTCTCACGCGTCTCCTTTTTCCCCACTGTTTTCTGAGCTGGTCCTCCCCCAGTACAGTGAGTGCTGGTGAGGTTTCCTCTCCCCCTTCTGTGTTTGGACTGGCTCACGCTGCCCACTAGACTCTGAGCCGTGGAATGAGGGAATGCCGGGAAATGGTTCAAACATCAAACCCCAGAGAGGTTCATTAGAGCCACTGACATCATGTGGCCGTTTGATTATTCAAATGCATGAACATCCTGTCACACAGAACAGGTTCCTGTCAGGCCCCGAGTGGAGCAGCAAATAAGACCAGTGTAATTACAGCTGCTTTGTTTTTAATCCGCCTGGCGTCCAGCTCCGAATTGTCGCTTTGATGTGTGTTCATACTCAGAAATATATGTTCCAAGTGGTGGGAGAAATAGTTGCGTTTCCATTCCTTTTGTAATTATATCATAAACTATTATAAATTATATGGAAATAAAATTAAAGAAATTAAATTAAATGATGAATTAAAAAAAAATTCTGTTGTTAAATTTTGCAACTTATTGTATGTAATAAGGATTGACAATGAAAGGTCATTTTGATTTAATTTTTGTCGTTAACGGCACTGACAGGTTGGTTGAACCAATCAGGTCGTGAGATTTCATAAACGTCATGACTGTTACGATGGATTACACATTGACCGTGTCCGTTTGGATCTTCAGGCTCGGACACATTTGTGGAAGTGGGCATGCCCAGGAGCCCGTCTCACTCCGCTAACGGGAGCGAGCTGAAACAAATGCTGGCCTCGTGTAAAACGTCATCAGGGAAGCGTCAGGCGGTGGAGCTCCTGCAGGGAACCAAGAACTCCCATCTGCAGTAGGTTTCCACCTGGACGTCAGTGTCTCTCACGGTCACTGCAGTTCTCTGTGTTCACTCCACTTCATTTATCTGTCTCGTACCCGCAGTTCAGACTGCCTGCTGTCGGACGCTGAGTCCAGCTCCTCAGACAGTCCTGTGGCAGATAAGAGAGCACCAGGGAGCGAGCGAGCAGCCGAACGAGCAGCACAGCAGAATGAGAGAGAGAGAATCAGACTGGCTCCTCAGACCTCCTTTGCCAACATGCAGGTACTGTGTACTGTACAGGCACCCGACACACACACACACACACCAACATAATGTAAAGATTTCTATTAGTGTTCAGGAATAAATGAAAAAAAAAATGTTTCCATTTCCAGGCATTTGACTATGAACAGAAGAAGCTGTTAGCAACCAAAGGTACGTGACAGTTTAAGAGTTAAAGCTAACACATGTTAGCACTTTTTGTATGATTAAAAAAGTTTTTTGTTTTTTTTTTAAAAACTGACAATTATTTAATATAGTATTTTTAAAAAACTGACAATTATTTAATATAGTATTATGGTTTTTTTATCATGTGTGTTTTATTTTTTAACTGCTGCTACATTTATTTGCATTGTTTCAAACACATTAAAATAAAATGCTAAAAAAACAAAACTCAACAAAATTCTGTTGGTACATTTGCAACATACTGTATGTAATAGGTTTAGACAGTGACGGGTCAAAGGTCACGTTCACTGTCTATTTTTTTCCAAACCACATGCAGTGCATGACAAATACAGAGCAGGGCGACTCACTCATTTTAGTTGTGGCACATGAAAGTCACGTCCCAGTCCGGCAGCATAAATCTGAAGCAGAACAGACGCGCTGCCAAAAACATCCAGTACAGTCAGAGCTCTGTGTGAAGAAAGTCCAAATATGTCTTCAGTTTAGCAACTACAACTCAGTTCAAATATACAAACCATTATGTCAGAATAAACAGTAGTGGGCTCTTTCTTTTTTTTCACCCACACAATGTGACAAAAGGTATTTTGTTCCAGCGAATTGATGTTGTAAATTATATTTTACCAAACAAGAAGTACATTTAAAATAATGTCTCAACAGCCCAGTATTATTTTTCAGTCCTGCACAGAAGGTTCTAGAGGCTGGGATAGAAAACATCTCCAACATCCTGGGTTAAAATTCATTCCAAAACCCTGACAGAGCCACCTTAACACCTTACTGAAGATTCCACTTGTCTGATTTTGTTTTCTTGGCTTCTCATAGTAAATGATAGTCATTCAAACTAAGTTTCATTTCCACCTTGGAACTGTCACTGCTTAAATCCTGTTCCAGTCTCTTGGGTCCAATACTAGTGTAATTTAGCATATTTAGTTGGTTTGGGGTTTGTTTTCTGCTCTTTCTTGGAAAGATTCGTTTGGCTGCACATCTTTAGTTCAGACTTTTACTGATAAGACAGAGAGCTGCTGATGGATGAACTAAATTCTGAGCTAAGTCCATGCCAAATAGTTTTGTTTTCTCTTTTCTAAGAAGCCACATTTTACTGAACTTGAGGTCTGTTTTAGTTTTGTCTTTTTGTTTGTTTCCTAAAAGCTGGCTCTAAAACCACTAATATATTTTCAGTTCTTGGTTCTTGGCCATTTGGAAAAGATTTTGTTGGTGCAGAATATTACATATAATATACAAAAAATAACAGCTATTGTATACCTAAGAGACTACTTTGGGGCATATTTTAGTATATTTAATACAAACCACAATGAAATACTCTACATCATATATATTTAATTATTACATATAAAGTATAATGAAAATATTATAATTATTATTTTCATACAATACCTCAGTACCACTGCCCAGTACTGGTCCCTGCCCCAGTGGTTGGGGACCTTTGGTTCAGAGTGTAAATGTACCAGATACATGGATGGTGTGTCCTACTCTTACGGTGTGTCTGGATTCACACAGCTATGCTGAAGAAGCCTGTGGTGACTGAGGTGCGGACCCCGACCAACACCTGGAGCGGTCTGGGCTTTTCTAAGTCCATGCCGGCAGAAACCATCAAGGAGCTGCGCAGAGCCAATCACGTCTCGTACAAACCCAGTATGACCACCACGTATGAGGTCAGACACGTCTGTGATGTAGAGTCACGTCATGTTTGATGAGATAATATTTGTCCTGATGTACACACGCTGGATACCTTCACCTGAGTGAACGTTTGCTTTAAACCTCTTTCTTCCTTTTCCCAGGGTTCCCCGCTGTCCCTGTCTCGCTCCAGCAGCAGGGAGGGCGTTGGCAACGGCAGTGACTCGGACAACTGGAGAGAGAGGAACGGCACTGGCAACGGTCTGCCGAGTCACACGGAATTCCCCTCTGCTGTCAGCAGCCCCAAGAGGAAGCAGAACAAATCTGGTCAGTAGTTCATATTTTTCTGTGTTATCTTTGCTGCGGCGACAGAAGAGCTCAGCTCTGTTCAGGACACATTTACTTTGCCTGCACTGAAGAAAAAAAACACAACTTAAAGACACAGTAACAAAGTTACTCAGGCAAAGGCTGACAACTTTTTTTTTTTTTCATTTTTAAATTGTTATTTATCACAGGGAAGCTGTGGACCAATCACAGTTAATCATGATTATAATTACTCCAAGATAATCACTCATCAAATGTCTGTTGAGGAAGTGTCATTTCTCCAGCTTTATGTGCAGTAAGAATTGTTGCTACAGACTTAGCACTTTCACTTCAAAACTATTTGTAGGTCACATCATGTGGGTGACAGCCAGGCTTTGAGTTGTCAGGTTTTTATTATCAGAGAAAAAAACAATAGCGTTTCTTACTGAATTACATAAATATGCTAATATTGTATGAAATTCTGGCGCCCGTCCCTTCAGCTGCAGAACATTACCTCAGCAGCAGCAACTACATGGACTGCATCCCTTCAGTCACCGGCAGCAACGGCTGCAGTCTGAGCTCCTCCCTGAAAGGCTCCGACCTGCCGGAGCTGTTCAGCAAGCTGGGTCTGGGGAAGTACACCGACGTGTTCCAGCAACAAGAGGTAGAGTCAGATGTGGACTGGAGGATTCTCTCCTGAAGGATTTTGAAACGATGTTGTCTCTGTTAAATACAAACGATGTGTGTGTGGTCTTGACCTTCAGATTGACCTCCAGACATTCCTGACACTAACAGACCAGGACCTGAAGGAACTGGGCATCACCACCTTCGGAGCGCGCAGGAAAATGTTGCTCGCCATCTCAGGTACAAATGGACGAAATTCTGTTCAGAAACAGATCCAAGATGCTGCTTGTTTTTTCTGAGTACAAACATGCAGAAATATCCCTCGACAATACACACACAATGAAGTACAATCAACAAAAAGTACCCAGCGCTTCAAAACGGGGAATAATAAAACTCTTTATCAAAGGTCGGTACTGTTTCCTCTCATCACAGTCCACAGAGCAGCCTATCAAAGGAGGAGGAAACGGAGTGTGTTGTCGTCCAGAAGTGGAAAAACACACACACAGTGTCAAAGGGGAGTACAGTAAATCCCACAGTCTGTGGACCACAGTGGTCACAGACAAACGTCTGACCTCATCACAGCTGATCCTCCAGCTGCAGCTCAAACTCCCGTCATTACATTGTCACGGTCTGTGACCTGAGCCAGCGAGAGCGAATATGTGAATATCTCAGTAAATGTATGTCTGCTAATATGTATAAGCGGACGTATATTTACTGACAGTTAGCAGATGCTAACAGCACAATATAATACAATATGATACTATACGATAGGATAAATTACTTCACTTTACTACACTTTCAACATTACCATCAGTCACAGACGGTGAACGTTAATTCACCTGAGACGAACAGAAGACACATTTTTTCATCGTTCCATATTTAGTCCCTCTGTTTCTAATTATTGTTAGAAAAAAAACTTCAGAATTCCTCCTCTACAACTCTATGATGGTGCAAACATACAAAAACATGTTGCATTCATTTTCATCAGCAGGAGTAAATATCAACATTCCTCCCAGATGAGGAGCACACGTTGGTGTTCCTCCAGCTGCTCCAGCTGTCTGCCTAATGCTCTTATGTCCTGTCATTACACCGGACCACGGTGGACGCTGATTGTCACGCTTCCTTTACTGACATCACGTTTTGGACGCCGTCACTGCTGCAGTTGTTAGGTCAATAAGTCAGTCGTGTGAATGTCGGGATCATCCTGTTTTTGTTTTGGCTATTTTTACAAAACGAGCCACTGGAGAGGAAATATTGAACGGCCCAGGCTGTGATTATTGAAAAGCACAGGGGTGTGAGGCTGCCAACAGCTCAGCCAAGCACAGGTCAAACCTCGGCCTCCGGTGCCGGACTCAACGGCTCCAGAAGAGGAACGTGCTCGTCTTTGTCTCCCTATAGTCCTGCCTCGCTCTCATAAAGAGCTGTGATGCCCGGTCGAGGCTGTCCAGGTTTCAGCTTCCTGCCGGTTTGCCAGGAAAAAAGAGTTGTCGGAGCAAACAGCCTGTCTCCTGACATCTAACTGAAGGTTTACACTGGCAGAGGCCGAGGCTGGCGACGGTACCAATAACCCAGAGATGCCATGGTGAGCTCCTGATATTTTTATGGAGACACTTTATCCAGGCTCATTCTTTTAAAGCCCGATTGACACAGAGGGAATTTCTCAGTAATCCCGTAATGATTTAGACTCCATTTACTTGTCACTGTTGGTTACCTCACACTGAAGAGACACAAGTCGACCCACTGTGTTCTTGGGGTTCAAATCATTTCACTTACGGCCTTGTGAAAATATACAGCGCTCAGCCAAAACATGCGCCCGTGTTTACCTTAACATCAACCTTCTTTATTTCCGCAGAACTAAACAAGAACCAGAGGAAGTTTTTCGAGCCGCCGATCAGATCCTCGTTTCTAGAGGGCGGAGCTAGCGGTCGCCTCTCCCGCCAGTTTCACACAGACATGGCCAGCGTCAGTGGACGGTGGTAGTCGTCCACTGACCTCCAGCCCTTCTCCAAAACCCCGTCCAAAATGGAAATTGTGTCTTCCTGTGTCTCTGCTCTTGTGCCTCAGCAGCACAGTTGTTGGATTCTGTTGACCTTTGAATTAGGGACAGTTCCGAATGTCGTCGTCCTTGTAGTTGTTGTTGCCATATAGTATGAAAAATATGTAAATGTTTTTTTGTTTTGTTTTTTTAAAAAGCCATAGTTCTACCTAAAGTGCCAACAAAAAAAAAGGGAATTTCAACAGTAAGTATTGTAATAACATCACATCAGACGGATGTGATTATGAAGAGAAAAGTACTGTCCAGTATTTCTGTCCACTTTTTGTCCAAGGGAACAGGCAGAATGATTAGTACGAACATTTAACCCACAGATACTTCCTGCATCAGTGCCATGCTGTGGTATCGGTGACATGCACTTTAACCATGCTAGACTTTTGCCTGTAAGATTCCTTAGTCTTAAATAATGATGACTATGCATTTTTATTATTATTATTATTATTATTCTCTTAGTAAAGCACAGATGCATTTTGTACCAAAGGACATGGAAGCACTTAGCCAGACGGATTAGAGACACCATCAGCGTTTGGACATTTCTACCAAAAAAAAAAGAAGCATAATAACTCACGGCCTTTGACCTTTGGCTGCCTTAAGTGTTATGTTTGGACATTCCTCCAAGGTCAGTGTTTGTGTTCAAAAACATTCTGTTTGTCTGTTTTGGGGTTTTTTTTCTACACACAAAAAAAATGTAATATTTGTACTCCTTATGATTAATGTGTAGTTTAGTTTTTACTACCTTTTTAGAGGGACGGGGGCGGGATGTGTAACGGTAATCAGTTTACATGTGTATTTGTTTTTATACCTTCATGAATTCAAGTTTCTATCATTGTGTAATTAGATCATCAGTGTCTTCTGCTTCCCCTCGCTCCCACGTCCTCTTCAGTCTGTGGCTGTGCCATCGGGCAGCAGCAGAGAAACGAGGCAGCGGGGCGAAGCCTCGTTGGCCGCGCTCCAGTGTGTCAACAGGCGTTTTCTGTTGTTGTTGTTTTGTTTGTTTGTTTTCTGTCTGTTAATAGTGCATGTTCTTTGGTCAGTGTTAAACCTTCTGTGTGCCTTAATCTCAATGCACTCCGGCATATATGTGGAATAGGCGTGTGTGTACTGTATGTGTGCGTGAGCGAGTGTGTTCCAGTTTAAAGCAGGGAAACACTTCCTTAAAAACACTAACGTTCTACCCGGACCTTGCTCAGCAGATACAAAGTGCCTCCGTTTATACACAGTTAACTGAGCTGCATGTGAGCCTCTCTCTGTGTGACGTTTGTACAAAATCCTGCACATGCTTTTTTGTTTTGTTTTTCATGAACAACAGGGTTATTCGAGCAGCAGCCGAAGCAGTATTTATCACCTAAACCTGTTTTTATCTCAGCTTCAGAATACGTTCTATCATGTGATTTGGAGAGAAATATCATTTTTAACTAACAGTTCATGTTTTTTTGGTGATGTTTTGTGAGAATTCAGTCAAAACCAAATCCCAACATCCTGCGCGTTTCATTTCAAGTGCAATTGATTCTTTTTGTAAATTTTATTTGTTAATATTTGCAGCGCTTCACGAACAAAACGCTCAGACTAAAACAATCGATGTTAGAGTGAAACAAGATGTACCAGAGATGATCTAAAATAAAAAAATAATAAAATAATTAGTTGTTAGTCATCTCCAGCCATTTTCAGTGGTTGTCAGGTTGTTAATAAATAATATTCTGACAGGGTTGCTGATGCAACACGTCAATTTTATTTTCTTACTCAACTTCTTTTTTTTTTAAGTTGTTTTCCTTTAAGGATTCCTGTGTTGCATGTTGTATCCCCTTCATCCTGAGAGGAAAACCCCGGGACTGTTTGGTCCCCACTCATGGTACTATTATTGAAACTGTTTAGCACTGATTTCTCTCAGTGCTGCGACTCGTGTTCCTGCCTAGCAGACATTTGTTTTCATTCTTCACCCTGTTTGGATGCATTTGCTCAGAGGGCAGTAGTGAATGTTGTACAAAGAAGTATTGATGCATGTTGATGCACGTTTATTGTGGATAAATGTAGGGACTCACCAAGTCAAAACGTTTACTTTCAGCAGTTTATTTCTTTGCCCTAATATTATAGTTTTACAGTTTAGCTTTTATTTAGTTGCATCGGTCACATGTTCCCAAAGGGATTTATTTGAAGGCGTCATTGAACTGCAATCAAATGGTACATTTATAATAAATGTAAACCACTAAGGAAAAAAAAAAAAGCATAACTTTTTGTACAGTTTTTTTTTTTTTGCTTTGTTTTTATTTTTTATTTTATAAAACCAATGATTTGTGTAAGAAAGGTACAATCCTGCACAAAGTTCCAGACCAGAATTTTTGTATAAACATTACCGTGTGGCCAAAAACTCTGTTTCACAGTTGATGCTGTTGTCATTCTGCCTGTCTTTATAGAGCAGATGTAAACAGAAGAGAGAGCAACTGTTGAGTGGACAAGGGAAAAAAATGTTTGTTCGGACATTCAAATGATATAATGAAGGTAATAAATGTATGCAAACCAAATGTTGATTATGTTTTTCTGCAAGTCATGGAAATATTTAGACGTCGGAGTCAACAATCGTTTTTCTTCAAACCAGAATGAAAAGAAGTTTTTTTTTTGTTTCTCAGTTACCGGGAAATTCGATATTCCAGTTTATGTAAGGCACTGGAGAATTCCCGCCCAGTGACAGCGTCAGTGTGTCTGTACTGCAGCACAGTTTAATACAGCGTTTCAAATGTAATGCTAATAACGGTTAACTAAAGGTTAAAGTTCATAATCACAAAAGACAAAGCAAGGCAGTAATAATCCAACAGTGTGCATGCCAGCATATGGCCTAATCCGCACACACACACGGAGATATGCTTAATCCCTGAAGAACGGAGTCCGATTAAGATCACGTTTTTAAAAAATATCCTCAGCTGTGGAACAGTTCCATCGAGGTGTTACAATAGCTTTTGTTTATTATGGGATGCACGTCACGTCAGAAAATGAGGCCAAAGTCGGATAATTACTTCCCTTGATGCATTGTTTTCCCCCGCGCCTTGTAAAATCACTTGTAGTTCCTCAGCTAGCCTCAAGGGGTCAGTGTTACCCGTGAGGAAAAAACACTTCTCAACCAATGACATTCAGTAAGGTCGAGAAGAGGGAAAAGAAAATGACGTTTTAACGTCAGATTAAGGACACGGCTCTCCCTAAATAAACAGAAAATACAGCGTATGTACTGTGTCTGTCAGTGTTAATCACTACTTTATTTCGCAGTCGAACCATTTAAAAAAAAAAACAGACTTCAAACAAAAATTAAAAGTGTGTGCGTGTGAGGAACCATCGTTTATGTTCAACACACTTTGCTGTGTTTTCTTTGAACTGATTTGATTCTCAATTTGAATGAGTGATTATATTAACTGTTCCAAACCTCATCCACAGGTTGGTGGCAGCACGCAAATGTCCAGATGGAGGCGCTGGTGCGGCATCCAAGGCAAAAGAGATCGTAAGTGAAGCAGGTGGTGGCTCCTGTGACCCACCCCCTCCCTCAGTTTTACACTCTCTCTCTCTCTCTCTCTCTCTCTCTCTCTCTTTCTCTGTGTTTTTTCACCAAACGTCATGATGTAACGAACAAAAACAATGGCTCATGTTTACATAACACTGTGCACTAAACACATTGTAAATACTGGACTGTCAGGCAGCGGAGTTTGGAGATTTCTGTCAAGTTCTCATGTGTTTGTCATTCTGGTGAAAGTTGAGGTCAAAAGGAATTTTTTTAAAGTATTTCCACTGAGCTTTAACAGCAGTATTTTGTTTTGTTTGCAAATTGCAGCAAAATGTTTCACAGAAATGTGGCCGCACTGTGTATGTGTGGTTAATGCTCTTGCCTTACACTGGTAAGGTAAATTGTTTGATAGTAGGCTGTAACCTATGGTCTCTGTGGAGTTCTACGTTCCCCACGTCAGTGCACGTCTAGCTTGAACTCACAGGTGTGAGTGTGTGTATGAGTGTATGGGTCTGAGGAGAGGATGAAGAAGTGATAGAGGAGGAACATTTCACGTTGTTAGTTTTAAATATTCATATAAATGAAGCTGGAATAACTTTCTCTTTCACTAATCACAGTCGTAATGCTTTGATTCAACATCTTGATCTTCTCTCTTAAAGACCACTGAACCATGTACCGCTCCCACAACCAGCTTCCTTAGCCCGTTACAGGGACCATGTGAATGACTGTAAGCTGTGACTTGTCACCTCAGTACCTGGCTCTCCTCCTCAGGACATAATGTTCACAGTGTGTGATCAGCCTGACTCATATTGTCTACAGTAAAATGGTACAAATCTCAGCCGGACGTCATGCTCCTGCAGTCTGTGCAGATGGATTTAGACTCTTCATATAAGACATGATTTCAAAGCCGATGATAAAAAAAAAAAAAGATACAAAAATTACTTAAGAGGAAATGACTGCGGTCCGGCCCGGCCCAGAACTGGACTGAAATGCCTCCAAAATATGACACATATATATTTAACAACTGTTCCACAACAAAAGAATAAAACACAGTTTTGAAGTATTTTTCCCTGGAGAGAATAAATGGCCAAAAATTAAATTTAATGATTATTAAATTTAAATTTAAATTTGCAGTCTCTTACTGCATTCATTGATTCAGACTCTGAAGGCGTTGTCTCTTACTACATTCATTGATTCAGACTCTGAAGGCGTGTCCTTCCTAAAAATACAAAAAATAAAAATAAAAACCTTAACTGACACACATTTCTAGACACACAGACACGACTGGTCCTTATCAATCAGACTGCAGCAGAGCTAAAGGCTGCGTTCAATGAAAATCAATGACACTTCATTAGCTTCCTCCAGAAAAATGTGCTTGTGGTCTGTAGTCACACACACACACACACACACACACACACACTTTGAACCCTGGAGACTTGGTATTGTTTCCTGTTGAACTGCAATGTTTTGGCTCCGTGAACAGGCTTGAATGTGAAGTGATGCAGAATGACTGCATGGTGTTTGTGTGTGTGTGTATGAGAGAGAGAGAGAAATAGCAGAAAATAATGAAGTTTCATAGTTTTAAAAAAATATGTTGAATTTAATCATGTCTTTATTCAACTATAAAAACAAAGGTAGATTTAAATGTGTTTTTTTTCCCCACCCTTCTTTGACCACACCCCTCCCCTCCAGCTGTTTCTCCATCTGTCACCATTCTGAATTGGTCCCTGATCAAATGAAAACCCACAGACAGACACTCTGTCGGCTAAACACACTTCTGAGACCAGTATTGATATTTGTGAGAAAGAAGGGAGAGGCAGGAAAAAAAAAGATGAAGGAAAAGGACCAGGCTGAGGGAGATGGATGGGGGATGGGCTGGACCTGGAGGGACTCAGTGTGTCTTCACTGTCCTCCTGCAGCTCCACTGGAAACACTGACGTTAACACGGGGTGACTCTGGCTGCAGGGGATGGTGGTTGGACGAAGAGACGGACGCTGCAGAGGCTGGGTGGAGGTTGGATGGAAAGGGGAAACCTCTAGAAGCAGCCAGTTATCGCTAACCGCCCCCCCCC